CTCCCTCTGTGTTCAGTAATTGCCACAATGCATCTTCTCATCCAGCTAATTAAGTGAGTCTTTCCCATTGTGTCCCAACACTATTAGCCCCTCCACACAGTCAGAGAGCCAACAAGAGAGAGTGAAACATGCGGGGGGAAAAAAACAAAAGATGAAAAGAGGAGCAGGGTGGAAGGAATACAAAGGCAGGAGCCCAAACAGAGGGAGGACGAATAAAAACAGTGTCTGCACCAGTAAATGTTCAAAGCTGAGGAACGTTTGTGTTGTCTGTTTGTGCTGCCGGTCCATAAAAGACACATTTGGCTGAGTTTTAGGGTGGAATAAATAGAGATTTATTTTAGCTTTAAAAAGATCCAGATACGTCAACAATACTAATGTAAGTGAATATTATCCAATTATGTGATGCATACATGTAATCACACTGTCATCAGCTAAAAAGTGTGTAGAGATTGAGTTGATTTGTATGTTGTTTTTATATATGTTATATAACTTGTTGTTTTACATTAAACTGGACCGAGTGTCATGTATGACATGTATGAGACTTTGACTTTGTACTGTAATTTACATTGTTAAATAAAATAAAATAAAAATAAATAATGCATCAAATAATACATAATAATTGAAACAGGTGCCAACTGCATATCCAAAGTCATCGAAATTAATGTGAAAAAATAGTACTAGAACAGTAGAGCCCCCTAGGGGTCACCAACCCATGGTTCGCAGACCTCTGCTGTATAATGCATCATTACTCAGTAAGCCTATATCTCACCTGTGTTTGCCCGAGTGCCTCACAATGAAAAGAGCGACTTAATAACGTATTTCCTGTGACTCGGGTATCGTAGTATTCTGACCAATGAAATATCTTTTTTTTTAAGTATAGTTTTGTATAGTATAGTTGCTGGATATTCCAGAATATGCAGTAGTTGCTGCAGAAGTTGGGCCACATTTTCAAAATGAATGAGAAGCGGGCGAAACACAGAGAGTGAAAACAAGTTTTCTCCTCCACCTCCTCGAGTTGTTATTTCATACACACCGCACTGACCTCGTCAACACACCCAGTCCTGCAGAACCATCCGACACCCCAACCCTCTTTCAGAGATCTAATAACACCCCTCTCCCCCCCCCTTCCAATCCTGAATACTTATTCCTCACACACCAGTTCTGGTCAAGGCCTTGACAGAGAGACAGACAAGTGGAGTGACATCATGGTGCAGCGAAGAAGGAGGACGACTGAGGGACAGGGCTGTCTGCCTGTCTGCCCCCTTAGTACCCACACAATGCAGCAGGGCATCTGGCAGTGTGAGGGGAGGAGGTGGGGGGGCGGTTGTCAGGACAAAGAGTTTACACCCCCCACCCCCACCCCCCGGCACCTCCACCCACTCAGAATATGATTATAATGTGTAAATAGTAGCAGAGATGTAAATGTGGAAGGTGTAGAAAAGTAGAGCTGGGAAGAAACTGAGGGTGAAAATAGTGGACAGAAATGTGGACAAAAAAGTTAGAGGTCGTCAATGTAGTTGCTCGTGAGAATCCTGAGGTGATGAAATGTTCAGTAGAGTGAAAGAAAAATCCCTTCAGATCATTGTTGAATTTTTTTACTGATCTTCATGACTGTTCTTGGGAATTGAATTTGCAGCCTGCTCATTTTTAGTCACTGCTGGGACACAGATGACTCTCATAATACTTACTTAACACTTTCTTACTCTTTTTCTTTTCTTTTTTTCCCCCCACTGTGTGCAAACCCACCCCCCTCCTCTGCCCAGACCCCCCATCTCTGCCTCTGTCTGGGAGGCTTTCTGTTTGCTGTGAGTACACAAGTGTGTGTCTGTCTGTGTGCATAAATAAAGTAAATGAGCTGTGCATATGCATTGTCCACTTCCACAGTCCTGGTGTATATATAAGAGATGTGACTTGACCCTGGCAAACTGAAGCAGGGTTTCGGCGTCGTACCGGGCGTGGGAAAAGGGGAAGACCTCTTTTCACAGCTGCTCCGGCCGTTGCATTGAAACAGCCGAGGCCCCCTCCATCAACCTGCCCACGCGCTAATACCTCCCCCTCAATGCGCCCCCTCCCCTTACAGCCTTCTCCCCCCCTGCCTGCTTCTCCCATTCACTCCGCAGCCTGCAGGATGTCAGTGGACCCCCGCTCCAGCCCTCCCCGTTCCCCTGTTGTTCGTCGCCCTGCTGCACCCCACCACCGCTGCCACCATCAGGCTTTAATACAGCCACCTCGCCATTCAGCCAGTCTGCATTGAGATGCCAGAGGCCCTCCTGTGCTCGGAGGAGTGGCAGAAAACAAAAAAAAACAAAAAACAAAACAAACAAAAAAAAACCCACGGCAAATTGACCAATAATGAAAAGAAGCAATTCACGTGAGTGAAAATTAATTAGTCAACAAAGCCCATTAGTCCGTGTACACGTTTGTACCAACAGTCAAACCTCATGTTGTTTTTAATGCTTTTAACTCGTGTCTGGTTCCCTCACTTTCTCAAACTCCTCTTTGTTTCCATACCCATTCCTCCCTGCACATAGACTTTAATTTATGTTAACATACGCCGCTGCTCCACACTCACTGCCCCCCCGCTCTCCCCACTCACCCCACCCGGTTCATACACACATATTTAATTCCTTTCACAACCTTCCTCCGTCTAGTGTATTCATTCGAGGAGATTTATTTCCGGCCGAGCTGCATAATGCAGCGGGTACACTTTAAATCAACTTTTAGGAAAAGACGAGCTCTGTGGTTTATGCATGCAGATCTAGAGAGAGAGAGAAAAAAACAGCAAACAGGACGGTGTTAACAGAGGAGTGCTAACTTTAAGAAGTCGTGGGAGTTTTTTTTTTCTCTGTTTAAACACACTGTTCAGGCTTCATTTCCTCTAGATATGTTCACTCATCTTAAGGAAGAGCAAAGAGAGTAATCATCATTATAAAGCATGGAATTTGGCAGCAACTTTAAAATATATATATATATATTTTTTAAGTGCAGAATAAAATAGGAAAAGTTTCATTTCTTGTGCCTGGCTGCTCTGCTGTTAGACCAGGCGTTAGGAGGAAATGTCGAGAAGCAGTAAAGTGGCAGCAGCTGGTGAAAGAGGGACAGGGATGAGAAGAAGTTTGGAGCCAATGACTGGTAAGGACTCCATCTCTTTTGGCCATGATGGCAGGGTGCTGCTGTCTGGGCTGCTTAGACTGGGCTGGAAGAGGCTAAGGCATGATGAGACCGAATTAGGTGAGGTGGCTTAGTGGAAGGACAGATGAGAAACATGCGCATAGTGTGTTTGTGAAAAAAGCCAACGCTTTAGTCCACAAATCCAGAATGGGGAAAACAACAGTGTCAACACAGACTAACGCTGAGTCGAGCCTAGTATTCACCATGAGTACACTAGAACAATGGTTCTCACAGACTGGGTCGTGACCCTCACGTGGGTCGAGAGATTATTTTTGGGTCATCCTGGGTCCCCAGAAAAAAACGCACCAGAAGGTTCGCTAGTTTACGAGCATAAATTATTAACAAAGTCTGGTTCCATCATTAAACTAACGCAGAGCACACAAATTGCGAGCAGATTAATATGTCTTCACAATGTGCTTATCACGGAAGACGGCTTTGTTTACATTGGTGGGTTATACTTCTGACATTGGATTGTGCTGCATTCACTGTCTTTAATTTGTGTTGTTTTTTTGGGAACTCTTGGGAACTTCTTGGGAATACTTCTGAGGATTTTATGTCCTAGATCATGATGTTTCCACCGTAGGTGAAAATCAGCCACATACCATAACAAACCACAATACACACTCTTTTACACACATATATGGTCCTGCAATTTCATTGGACTGAAGGAGGACGTTACCAGCAGTGTGTCTGCAGTCATTATTCACTGCTGTTCATTAAGAGTGTCACTGCTGGATTGATGTGTTTCAGCATCAAACTTAGCCTTTAGCGATGCCTCTTCTTCTAAAGCCCAAGTTCAAGCAGCGCTTGTTTGCATTGATTTATCTAGTTTGGTGGTTATGATATTGACAAAGTAGACGGACAAGCCGCATCGAGTTGAAGGGAAGCGAAGGAGCTTTAAGTGGTGGTTGAACGCAATGGAGGAAAATAGCCACAGGCTGTGAAATCTCCTATGATCTACCATCGTCTGATTCTAAATACTGGTATAGAACTAGGCCAATGTCACAGAACACTCATCTAACCCTGAAGGGAAATTTAAGAAATCACTCCTTTTGTTTCTGCAGGATGACGAACCTCGGTCTCTGAGGATGGAGCTGGTCTCCCTCTCCTCCACTTTTTAACGGCGCCTCCTCACTTTGCTCTCTGCAGGAGGTTTAACATTTACAAGCTGAACAGTATTCTCCGCTGCAGCTGTTAGGAGAGCTAGGAACAGGTCATCTTTATTCATGTCACTCAACACAGAGAGGAAAAACTGATGCTGGGAAAAAAAAACAAAAAAACCCAGTGATTTAGTGTCACTGATGAGTTCACCTGTCTGTCATCTTCAACAACATGATGACAACAATAAAAACTGGCAGAGACCACCACGGCGTTTGACCACTACATTATATATTATATATATTTTTAATACATTTAAACTGAAAATGTGATGATAATGGTTTTTAATTTTCAAAATCCACACAGAAGCCATGACAAGAAAAGACAAAAGGAAAAAAAACCCAAACACAAAGATGCTTCTGTGTTCGTCAGTGTGGGAGAAAGAAAAAGGTTCGGAACAGATAGGAAGCAGAAATATTGCAGGGTTTCAGTACTGCATATCAGCCCACGTTGTCTGTGTACTCTAGGGAAGAGCACTGAAAAATATCCAGAAGATATATAAAAAATATTCTTTATAAAAAGAGTCAACCACAAATCAGGGAGTCGTGAAAAGTCCACCTGCTTTCACGACCTCTGACGGTGACACGAGAGTTTCCACGTACACAAACGTTGACATGATGGCACAAAAACGATGGCCTGACAGACGTGAATCGGAGTGAGATCCCACTTACTGTAATGAAGCCTCTTCGCGGCCCAGTCGGCGGCTGACCTGCTGACCTCCTGGTCTCACACAAAGCCTTTCACGTAGGATACCTGTGTGTGGTGTTTACTTCTTGAACCTACAAAACAGAAATATCTCGTTTTAGAAAACAATCAGCCAGCGACTCATAACCTGACACTCAGATTAAAAGCAATACATGAGAAATTATATGATGTGAAATATGTTCAAATATCATAACGAAAAGTTATCTGGCATCTTCCTTTAAACAGGTTTATAACCTTCATGTCTGCCTTTCATTTTTTTCCCCTCTTCCCCTTGCATGGGTCAGAGGCTGTTGCTAGGCTACCAAAACCAGAACTGTTCAGTTTAAAAGACGTGTATATAGGACACTACGATTCAGGGTACGTTACGGCTATAAGCAGAAAAATAAAGATGAAAAGAATATAATCTGAAAGTAAAATATACAGATAACCTTGAGGGAAAGAAAATGTGATTATATTATCACTAAAAGGAATGTGGGTCAAAGTTTTAAATGTCTTTCTAATTATCAAATCCCTTGGAAATGTTGGCAATTATTATTCAGATTTTAAGAAACAAGGCGTTCTTCCAGCCTTGTTGTTCTTTTAAAAATCTTTAGAAGTTACAGAGGGAGCTGATGAAAGCACTTGACTGAAAAAAAAGAAGACAAAACTGTGAACTGTGAAAAGGCCTCTTCTGCAATTTTCTCCTATCTTGTCAAGTTCACAGCACCCTGTAGAGACAAATAAGGCACTAACAACGTGTGGAGACAAAAAAAACGCCTTAACACATGTACAAACGAACAGAGGAACGCGCCAACACTGCAACACAAAGAGCAATCTGTGGGGGGGGGCGCGTGTGACACGTACCAGATAACATCTATGGGATGGTATGGCTCGGAGATGCAGCGGTGTTCGTAAAGCCGAAACACCAGCTCTGCTACATATAGGACATTGTGTAGGGTGCAGTCGGCGTGCGCTAACGTCTTTGTCAATTACTTGCAGGCACCTCTGTTCAAAGTACAAAAGGCAATATAAAAATATCCTCCATACGGTGAAGGGTATGTGAGTGTAGTGAATGTAGAGAAGAGAAAAGCCAGCGACAGATCTAGGCTTTAGCAAGGAAGGCAGCAGCACATGACAGGTTGTACGGCACAACATGGTACTGAGAAATCCATGCTCTCAAATGTGCCTTGTATTCACCCCGGAATTCACTAGGAATGTCTCCATTCATAACACCCACAGTTAAATTTGACAATTCACTAGTTCATTTAGTCTTTCAGTGCAGCAACATGAATACAAGTCAAACAGAAATTAAATGGTGATTTATCTAAATTACGAAAGGGCAGACAATTGGAGGAGTAAACCAGGCTGATGACAGGTGCTGGTAGACTAGACCCAGACTAGACTAGACTAGACTAGACTAGACTAGACTAGACCCAGACTAGACTGGGCTCCATCTGGTGTTAAGGGCCTCCTCCTGATGGGGAAGAGGGCCCAGACAGACACATATTAATGTGGGAAAACCTACATCTAGTCTGCCTTTCAGTCACCCGCCAGACTGCATTTCAATCTCAAAGGGCTCTCCCCACATCCTCCATTTATTAGCCCCGACTCATTCATCTCTCCTGCAGCTGGGGGGGATGAGGAGGAGGGAGGAGAGGGGGAGTAGATGGTGCTGTTGGTATATATAGCCCATATGACAGGTTCAGACCCTTCAAGAAGGCTCTGTAATATAAATGTTGTAGCTAAATATTATGTGTATTCAGGTCATTTATGGCACATATTTGTATTAACGTGATGCTGATTAATATGACTCTGATAACTATTATTATATAATTATTGAGAGAGAGTTTGAAATTCTTACAATTTCCTGTTTTATTTACTCATTTTAAATCAGACATATGAGCAGTGTTTATAAAGATGTACATTTGTGTGATGCTCTGTTAAACTCCTGACTTCAGAGTTCACACTAATGGCCTTGAACATTACCATCATGATAATCGCAGCTCTGGTTTCTGTGGTACAGCAGAACAACCAGCCTGGTGTGAAGCACACATATTCCCTGGCCTGTTCCAGGCTTTTTATTTCTCCATCCTTTCTGCTCTCTGTGACGCAGTTAGCACAGGGCCTCCTCAGAGCACTACCAAGATCTGTGCCCTCATACACTCACACAGCACAGCGCTGGCACGAGGAGCAGCTACAGCTTTAGCAGCTAACGCCGGACTGTCACGCTTAAAATTCAACAGGCTCCACAACGGAATACATCCTATCACTCAGGCAGACCAGGAGCCGGGTAGGAGCTGCTCATTGACTCCAGATGGAGAAGCGAAAGATGATGATGAGCAGCATCATAAAACAGGCCTGAAAAATCAGGCCCGGTTTCTGGACAACCCCGCTGACCCTTAGTCGTACTGCCTCCAAAATTTATGCTTAGCATACCGTATCTGATCCCCCCCCAGCCAATGGACACATTCGGTGAAGCCGATGGTGTGTGTGTGTGTGTCGGCCACGTTCAGATCCACGGGCGATTCTGTCACAAAATTCAGCGTGAAGTCGAGACGTGACGATACTAGTTAGACTGTTGATTGAATGATCTTTTTAGTGTTTTTAAATATGATGCATTTAATTGGATTACGTCTTTTGGTGGAGTGAAAAAGTGAAAGAGATTTATTGTCCTCTGCTGAAGCTGAGTGCCCAGGGAGCAGTGGGTGGGGATGGTGCCATGCTCGGTGCACCTCGGTGCCACATGGATTCAAACCTGCGACCTTACATTTACAAGTCTACACTACCTTCCACTGCCACATACATGCGTTTAAATAAAGGCCCAAAAGCATGGACAGTGAATTCAGATATGTTGCATTTTTTTGGTCTATATTGTCTCCATACCACACATATGAATGTCTCAGTGAATTCAGATATGTTGCATTTTTTGGTCTATATTGTCCCTATACTATATTGTGTCTATAATAATTTGTTATACTGTGGACTCTGAGAAATATATAACGCAATAAAATCTTGAACCGTCTCCTTACGTTCATGTACATGATATATCTGAAGCTGAGTGAAATAAAAGTGTAAATTAAACTAAATCCTATGAGATGATCTAACAATGTCAACACTCTGTGATGTCCCTGATCAGGCTGTTGTCTTTCTACTGTATCCAGTACAGATCAGTCAGCATTACAGCACCTTCAAATGGAATTATCATCACTAAATAAATGTCATAACCTAAACTTCAGGACCAGCATGCAGCTGCAGAGAAGCATCAGCCTGGAAGTTAGAAAGTAATAATAAGGTGAACATAGACTGACTGCAGACTGACTACAGACTGACTACAATGCCTCTCCCATGCCTCTACATGATACGTAGACCAAATGCAACGGGTGCTAGCGGTACAGAACACGTGACCTCCAGGTGTCGTCCAATCCGGTGGATCTCTCAGATACAAATCGTATTCATCTCAGCTCCTCGTTATCAGCATCCAACATAAGCACACATGCACCGGAGGAGCAGCTACAATATTCATCCCAAACCAGGGGTTAAAAGGCAGTCGGTGTTCCAGTAAGAGAAACTGCTCACAAACCAGAGCCGAGTGGTCCTCCTCCTCCTCCTCCTCCTCCTCTTCTTCTCCTCCTCAGCATCCTCATTATCACTCCATGAATGGAGCCTGTCTCTGGTTTCCAACTACTGTCACTCCTCATATCGAAGACGTGCAGAGGTATGAAGCCCCGTGTTTTTGGCGTGTCGTGTTCCTCAGCTCCCGCACGAGTCCATGAAAGCAAGGAGGCGTTTGGCGGAGCGGGTCCTCCTCGGTGCAGCCTGCACCATCCGTCCGTCCGCTCCGGCAGCGGTTGCAGCCCGTAGCTGCGGTCCCGGCGGCGGCTAGCTCAGCCGTGACGATAGCAGAATTAGTTTATACATTCGGTTCTCTAGCTTTATGATATTACATAAACTCATACAGCTAGATAACCAAAGAGAAAAACTAACCCACGTCTCTTAAAGGGGCCGCCGCCGGCGCTGGAGCTGCTTCTGTTGTGGTCACATGGAGCCATTGCATTCAGCCTGTCTGCGCACCTCTCTCTCCCACTCTCTCTCTCTCTCCCTCTCTCTCTCTTTACGTCTTCTTCTTCTTTTTCTTATTCCGCTGTCTCTACATCTTTAAAACACTAAAGCGCACGGACACACATGGTGTACTGTATGTATCAAAAAAAAAAAAAAAGATTGTCCTTACACGTAAGGTTTCATTGACAGCCAGCATCAGAACGGGCAACGATGGCAACAAAGAGGGTGAAGCATCCAGAGCACAACATCAACCAAACATCATTAATAGTCAGAAATGTGTGTTATTTTGATTAAAAGTAATAAAGTCAACACATTCACACACACACACACACACACGCTGGTGAACTTTCCATCATGACTGCCATGAGAGCTGATGTGTAAGGTGAAGTCACTCAGCTCCAGGACAGCCGTCACACTGTGGCAGCCCTGTGCCTCTGATCACACTAATGTGTGTAACATTCACTGACCTGTGTAACATAACTCAGCAGATGAGCTAACGGCGTCAGTCTCCCACCAGTGTTTCCTTACAGCAGCAACTCACAGAGCTCCAGCAGCCTCCACCAGTGTTGTTTTAAATGCCACTCTACATCGACCCATTCCCAAACATACGCCGCACTTTTCCCGTCCTCGGCCAAATTAATCCATGGAATGTTTGTAGGCGTGACAAACTACCGCAGCACAGTACACAGGGGCTAAATGTCAACGACCTGATCCAGTGGAACAGCCTAAGACACCCCCCGGATGTACACCCTGATTTACTGGTGACATGGGCCGACAAGTTGAATTAGGTCAACCAAGCTTCCGGAAAAGCATTCCAATAACAACGATGATCTCTTCAATCACCAAGAACTTCCTTAGACTAAGCCAAAAAACAAAGGTTAGAAGGTATAATATGTCAAGCTTAGAAGGATGTTAGATGCCGCCCAAACATTGAGAACACACTGTTGACTTCAGCTGTCACTGAATCACAACTCAGTGAACCAGGTGATCCAATATGGCCACCTCCACAGAGAAGGCATCTTCTAATGTAAATGGA